ACAACACAAAAAGTTAGGCCGAGAAAGTCGAACTTTTAGAATTTATGTCTCCCTCCCTCACCTCCCAGACAAGCAACATTCCACCACCAACCAAACCAAATCACACGACACACCTCTCAAAACCAACACAAATAACCATGGACTTCCTGCGATGGATGTTTGGTGGACGACCAAGAGATGAAGAACCCGAGCCCCAGCCAGCACGAATTCCGCGTCCGGACCGCCCAGCAGACGAATTGTCCCAACAGCGAGTACCTGTGCCTGGTTCTGACACGCTTCCCTTCCACGTTCTACCAGGTGATAGCGCTACGACTATCGTGTACTAGCAGAACGAGGTGTATTGTGCTAAACCAATCCGAGGGCCCGCATTCAAGCCGAAAGGCTATTCAGATGCCCTGATCAAGAACCAGGTATGGATGTCGGCTCGTGTATGAAGAGAAACCAACATAACAATTCTATAGCGCGCCGTAGTGCTAGCTCTTCGATATGTTTCGTTCTTCGGTTTGACCCGTCAGAATCGCCCAGATGCCGCTGCAGACCCACTCGAGGAAGGATACCTTCTGGAGATATTCAAACTACGGAACGGGAAGTGGGAAATCCCAATTTCGTCGAAGCATTTGATTTTAGGAGCCGCGTTCATCGACATTGAGGTCACGCATAAGCATACCGATCTGGTTATTCCGAAAGGGATTCAAAGAATTGGGACGGTCACACTGGCGTACATAACTGCAAAGAAGATGGCTGTTACATATGCAACTAACCAGATGAAATTCTGGATCAAGGAAGTGATGTTTCCATTCACAGTGTAAGTCAGACACCTAAGGACATTTACATATCCCTGCTGTGAGCAGATATTGACTACAACCAGACACACTGTCCTGCAGTCATACCAAGACCCAGCGTTCCTTGCTGCTTTGAAATCGCAGAAGCCAGCACAGTTAAACGTATGGTTTGCAAGCACTCTAACCGATACGAAAGTCACCTATTGTCTTCGGAATCCCTGGGGGAAAGCAATTTCTGTCGACTTCTTTATGCACAAGGGAGTTCGTCAAGAAGCAGAAGAAGAGGCACTGCGGATCAACCTAAAAAAGTGGTCCATTGACTTGATATCATCCACGTGCACTGATCTGTACCAGTACGCAGTGCAGATGCGAGAGGGCGAGGAAAAACCAGCCTGGTGCCTCAATCAAATCATGGCCAACCTGAACGCGCTCCCAATGTCGAGGGTAGTCGAGGATGTGCACCTCAATTGGCTAGCACTCCCTGCTTCTGAAGACTTTGGCAAGATCACACGAATCCGAACCGCAGGAATGCTTGCAAGCACCAACAACTACGAAAATGACGAGGATGCAAGAGCCATCTTGGACATGGCGGCTGACCTACCAGATAGGTAGGAGGTTGATATGCAATGAGCTTGGAGGGAGAATTTGGGACAGTCAAGTCAATCTGATCCGAAAAGATCTTTTTAGTCTTCACCATGTCTCTTAGTGGAGTTATGGATATGATAGACGTTTTCAGGGTGGGGCGAGGAATTCTGTGCTTCGAGGCGATCTGGAAAGATCACTGTTTTTTCTTCGCAATATATTTCTTCAAGCAGCGGCCTCAATGTGGTGGCTTGTCATTAGGGAGGGGTGGGGGAGTGTCAAAAGCGTCCAGGAGGATCATTTGATTGATCTGAAAAGATCTTTCTCTATCAATTTTCTTTACTTTGCCAATACTTAAAATAAACATCAAATGAGCCTTATAAACCTTGGGGACCTATCTTTCAGGAGCTATATTGGAACGAGTGATTGCGAGGCGTGGGGTAGCCGCGGGGTAGAAGGCTACTTGCTTGTAATGTTCCAAAATGTGTAAGGGAGTACACCCAGTAAACCCAAGAAAGCAGCCATCAGTCGAAGCAGACTCCGAGAGATACGTGATGTATAGTTGTTATTTAGAAAGCTGCTTCTCATAGTGAACCATGGATGTGAAGCTTTGACATGCCCGAGGTACAGCTCAAAACCGCTCAAAACCATCACACAACTGAGCGAGAACAAATTACCGTGTCGCTCGTCCAAAATCTTCTATCCAAACTGTTTCGTAGCCATCATGTGAAGAGCACCTTGCCGGGAATTTTTAGCAGAGCTAGAAAAGCGTAGTAATAATCATGCAGATGCTACTAAATAGGGGACAGCGATTTCCTCGATTTCCTCCAGCTGACCCAGGGATAGCCTTTGAAGTAATTTGCGCATTAAAGAGGAGAAATCTAGCAGACTTGAATCATTGGATAGGGTCCCAAATATTCTTCTTCTACTCGCTGTGTACTGGGCTGTCGGTGGTCTGTGGCCTCTTGAGACTCTAAGATAAATAGGAGATTTCTTGCTTGATAGTAATCTATGAGAGACATAAAGGAAGACGTAAAGTAAAAGTTGATGTCCTGGAGAATTAAGATCCAATTCACACAAGTTCCGCCTCGCAGTCTTGTGATAATTGGACCAAGGCATCAACAGTTGGTCCAGCCTAAGCGAGATTCTGACCCACAAACTTTCAATCAAACTCTCGTTCATCTTCCAACTTCAATCTACTCCCCAACGACTTCATCAAGCCCTCACACTAAAATCAACTATTACGACGCCCACACAACCATCGCCGCTCCCACGAATAATCATGAATTTCCTGCGCAATCTCCTCGGCGCAAACCAGGGTGAGAACCCTCGACAAGACCAACCCGGAGGTATCGAACCTCACAACCTCCCGCTGAATCGAACGCGCGAACAGCGTGTTTCTGTCTCCGGAGGAGAGGCTCCCCCGTTCCACGTTCTCCCAGAGGACACACGTGCGATGATTATATACTGGGAGAACGAGGTATACTGCGATACTCTAGTTCAAGGCGCGTCGTTCAAGAAGCTGAAAGGGTACCCCAAACATTTGATCAAGAACTAGGTTTGTCGATCTGTATATACGGTGATGGAATATACTCTAATACATTTCCAGCGAGTTGCAGTCCCCCCTACCGCGTACGTCCCATTTCGAGATATCGTTCTCTAGAACCGACCAGAACGAATTGGGGCGCCATTCGAGAGCGATCGCTGTGTTCTGGATACCATCCGGACTATTCATGGCAAGTGAGACATCCCAATGTCTTGCAAGCATCTCATGGTTGGTACCACATTCGTGAAAATCCAGATCAGTGATGAGCACACAGATATCGCCATTCCGAATGGAATCCAACAAATTGGCACGGAAACAATAGTTCATAAACAGGCCAAGAAGATTGCGACAACCTATGCCTCAAATCAGCCGAAGTTTTGGATTGAGGAGGTGATGGTTCCTTTCACAGTGTAAGTCAATTGATCATCTCTGTACCCTCCAGGTATTGCTAGATATTAATAACAAACAGGAACACCGTCTTGGATCGCTACCGGGACCTGCATTCCTCGCTGCCCTCCAAACCCAGTCATCACGTAAATTGAACGCCTGGTTTACGAAGACGGTGACCAAGACCACGTTAACCTATTGCCTCCGCACTCCTAGGGGCAAGGCCATTTCAGTGGATTCTATATGCATAAGGGAGATCGTGCCGATGCAAACGAGCAAGCATTACGCATCAACTTGAAGAAGTGGGCGTTAACTCTGGTTGGGACCACTTGTGCCGATCTGTACCGCTACGCAGTACAGATGAAGGCGGGTGAGGAAGAGCCAATTTTGGACAGAGTGCAGATTTTCGCCAACCTCGATTCCTTCCCAATGTCATCAATAGTCAACAGGATCCCCGCCATCGATTGGTTGGACCTCCCCGCTTCTCCAGACTTTGGAAAGATCACAAGTGTCAGAAGGGCCGGATTGCGAGCAGGCACAAACAACGCTGAAGGCGATGATGACTCAGATGATATCCTGGATCACGCAGAAAATATGGAAGACCGTTAGACCCCCGTGAGGTCATTGGCATGATCTGGAAATATCTGCACTGTCCTGGCTCTCTCTCGTGGCAGTATCGTTGGGAGTTGAACACATCAGGGTAGGCTGGGGAGTGATAGTCAAGATCAGCCTACATTCCTCGCTGCCCTTCAATCACAATCGCAGCGTAAATTAAACACCTGGTTCCTGGTTCACAAAGACATTGACTAATACTACTTTGACATATTGCCTTCGCACTCCTTGGGGCAAGTCTATTTCGGTGGATTTCTTGAATTTGGGTACATTCAATAGGCAGGTACCTCGGATACCTACCAGCTACCCATGTACAAGCCTGCGCGCGAGGGGGGGGGGGGGGGGCTCAATCCAGTACTCACAGCGCCTGGACTGCCAACCGGGAATTGATGGCCTGTCTTGGGGAACCTCGAACGGAGTTGCAGCTGTGGAAGCAGATCAAGCAACTGAAACTAGCGAAGTGATCAGTGTTCAGATCTAGAAAGGGGCAATCTGTAGGTAGTGTAGGTATCATTGCCAAGAGGTTTATGTTGCGTGCAGGTACGAGAAGTAATTGAAGTCAAGATTGGACTTGCGAGAACCGTTGCCACCATGCCAGGAAATCGTGTACTTCCACCAATATTCACATCACTGATTCCCATGGCTCCCGCACCGATCATTTGCAGCGTTATTTTCTTTTCATAAATAATACTAGATCAGTCTACCTCTCCGGCCCTTATCCACCACTACGATCCCGGGACCTGCCTGGACTTTAGTACGGCTCGCTTATGTAGTGAGCTCCTACAGGCTCTGCCACAGGGCCTAACAGGCTGAATCGCACTTAAGGGGATAATGCACCAAGTCACATAGGGTCCCCCACGCTAAATATGCGCAACGCAGATTATCAAAGGAGCCAGCGTAATGTGTCATGGCTCGCTCGGCTCGTCTACGGGCTGTCGCCAAAAATAAATTCCAAGAGGACTGTGCCAACTTCTCCCTCCCTTATCAACTCTTCAACCCACAACTAAACAAAAAAAATAATGACTGCAACGCAGGGCCTAATCCGCTGAGACACAGTTAGTACAAGATACTATTTCTTCCCGAGACATTGTCACTTCACTTACGGATCGAACCGGAGACCTCTTACATCTTTGTAGCATCCTGAGATGCTCCCAAAGCAAGAATTCTACCACTGAACTATCAGGCCTACTGTCTTTGTTAACAGAATCTTCTTATCTAGATACTTAATACCTTAATATTTTCCGTTCTGTGCGTTCTCGTTTAGAAGCGAGCCAATCACATCTCGCCAGCGATGCATCTCGCAAAACCAAGCTGCCCTGACCCACCAGCCCACACAGTGATCGCGTGCCAGTTCTCGAGCTCCGATAAATGAATGATTGAAAAAGAGGTGGATGTAGTCATGAGAAACAATAATTATACGTGTACTGTAATATAGAAGGGTAAATCTATTGCGATGTTCACTGGGAGATAGTGAGAGCAAAGGTTAGTGGAGTTCAAGTTCAACAGCCCAAGCTGGATGCTGTGACAGACCTGACGGGTCAATGCGCTGTGCCCCCTAAAGAGGTGCTGATCATCGTCTTGCTTCAGGTGGCACCGCCTGAAGGGAGTGCACTTGTCGCACTTAAGGGGATAAAGCGATCCCAGGCATGATATAATTTTGACGCTGGTATCGAAGTAGTAATCATACATCGCTGCTTATTCTTTTGCAGTGGAAGCCTGGAATTTTATTCCGACGGCGTCTAAACTTTTGAGACCTTTGAGCATCGTCCATTTGACTAAATCCTTACGTATTTTGAGAAGTTGGTGGAAGTTATTGTGGGCTAAAGACTGGATGAGGTTGTGAAAAGTTGATGCAGGCATTCTTTTCTTAAGTTTTGTATTAGCGAATAGTAGTGAATTCAATTAGACTAACATATGTCTAATTTGATGCGACTGCGATAATATTGCTGTACGGTAATCATCGCAGGCCGTAACAACGCGATGGGAACGAGGAAACCAGCTCCCCAGATAAATCCTCGGTCACTTCATCATACGAACCTTCGCCGAGCCTGGTTCATGGATGCCCGTGGGTGAAGATAGACAGATTTTATCCTCAACCCATGGACAACTTCCTGAAATATGCATAATATGAGCCCCTCCCCCTAATTTCATCCTTGGTCTTTCTGTAGTTTCTTCTCTAAATGGGACCCGAGGGGAGGACGCTGAGAATTCCTAACCTGGCTTAAGTGTTCAGATTGTGTACGGTAAGTGTCCCTGGAAAGCAAATTCGCACTTTTCTTGGGATATGTAATCTTCAATAGTTCACTAGAGTTTTCATTAGACGGTGATGTATGGCCAATATCCCAGGTATTGAGTTCTTGTACTTATTTATAATGATCACTAACACGCTAAGGTGACTATAATACGATAAAATAACCAGAGAGGCATTAAAGGATTACTAGTAATATTTAAATTAATATAAAGGCTAATTGCTAAGGAGGGAAGATTACATCTTCCATTTCCTACCCATACAAGGGTGGTTAATTACGCAATTAGCGCTGAGAGCACGGATTGTTACACCGTTTCTCTTCACTCCTATCGAGGTTTAACCGCAAAATGCAAGTAACAAGCCTGTCGATACATTGGTTGAAAGCAAGAGTCCCATGAATACATATTCTCAGTCTCTAATTCCTTGAATTGATCCATGCCTCATTTAAAGTGGCTGACGAGCAGTCAACTCCAGCGCTTGCACAACAGTTTCCTCGCACCAGTCAGCGTGACAACCCAAGCAACTCCAATTCACAACTCCTCCTCTCCGCCTTCCCCCTAGATCTCCTCCTTAACCACTTTGTATCTCTTCTTTGGTGGCTTCTAGCCGTTTCTAATAATATCAACCGCTTGATCCCTGTCAAGCGTTATGGCAGTCTCCAGCAACGACTGTGATATTTGACCGATGACACTTGCAACTCTAGCAGCCTTGCTACCCTTTTACCGCATCTCAAAGTCCAAGATCGACTTCTTTGCAACTTGAAGAATTGCAGCTACAAATCCCTCGTGACTTGTGTGCTCCTTGATAATGTGGTTGAGTACCACCACGGATGCGACGATCCAGGTTCTTCCACAAAGTGGACAGCAAGCCTTCGGATCCGCCATCTTCTCTCTTTCTCCATCAAATCGACTCATCAATCCGTCCAAGGAGGAGTCTTTTCCCCCGAAGTTGAATCCCCCGTCAAAGTCCTCAAAACTTCTGACCTCAGTTGGAAATCCATGCTTCGGATCTTGAATTGGATTTGTGATCGGGCGTCCCAGCTGCATTGAAAATTGCAGATTCATCCGCTCGACGTCTGTCAAGACCATCAACTGCATCAGACAATCATCCTCTCCAGGTCCGTGGACACCGCATTTCCAAGGCACAGGCAACCCCTTTCTCCGCAGTTCCAGGGCTCTGAGCCTACATCCATCGCGTTGATAGTTCGGATTTGGATCCTCCATGTTGATGTGTCTTGGGATCAAGCAGTATGATTTGCCGCATTTGTGAGACGCATGTTTGGTCTTATCAGTATCCAACACTTTGCCTGCCGTAGCATCTGCAATAGTGGCAAAGATCCTTGCTTTGGTTGAGTCAGCCGAGACTTTGTGCTCAATTCCATGATCCCGTAGCCTCACAGCATCAACTCGGAACATGGCTCGCTGGTAAGTTCGAATCAATGGTGCTTCGAACTTTGGGAATGAATCGCGTCAAAACATCCGCCGTATTCTTCAACCACATTTGGTGCAATGCCTCCGGTGATGATGAGATCCATTCTCCAGGAAGTGTCAAGCAGGTGGCTTCATGATCGACTCTCAGTCCCCAACCATTCAAAAGTGACACCTGGTGATCCTTTACCATTGATTGAAAGTTCGGAGAGAATGTCAGTGCTCGGCAGAACTCAATGTTGCGCAGGAGCGACCAGGCGTTTCTATTCGGTGAGCCACGCATGGCTTGTTCTTGTTCTTCAAATGTGAGCGGCAGGGCATTGATGGCATCTAGAGAAGTCTGAAGTGACGGAGTAATGTTGATTTTGATCTGGGTCTGGCTCATGGTGTACTTTCCCACTTTGAAGTCTTGGTCTCGCGTATACTCGGAAGGATGGGTCGCAACTGTGCCAGGTGGGTATATGTAGGTTTCAGGGAGCGTTGATCCGCTATCGTCGTCAGTTGCTGTGTTGGTGTCGGCATCTAGACTGGGTTCCGGACTCGAAGCAGCTTCGTTTGGCGCGATCTCTTCTGCTTCATGACTTATTGCGTTGTCGCCTGTGCTGGGCAGCTTGCCACTTCCCCAACTAATACCCTGCAATGACCTCTGTCCCTGCGTAGATGGAAATGCCCCCCTTCTTTCAGTTTCGCTCCCTGTCTTGAGCCACGGTCTTCTGTTAACCCTGAAATCTCCTCCAGAGAAGGGCTCCGGAGCAGCCTTCTCCTTCACGACCCATGATCCAAGTCCAGCTCGCTTCGACTTTGTGCCTCCTCCATTGTTTGATCTGATGCCTGATACTCTTGCCGAAGTTCCAAATTCTGGTGAAGGCGGGTGCGATTGTTGGGAAACGCTCTGGTCGAGAGTTGGAGGAGCGTCAGATTGCTGAAGTCTCGAAGTGGGCGGCAAGGCATTGATTTCGTGCTCATCTTGATAGGAAGAGAGCACACCTGCGATACGCTGGATGAGCAGCACGAAAGACTGTGCCCAAGGCTCGTGGCGCTGTGTCTCGAATTTGGCGATGATTCGTTTTCTCTCATAATCAGTTCCCACCAACCACAAATCCCGTCCCAGCTCTTCTATGATAGAGAGATAGTTTAAATAGGATGCAAGAACCTTCCAAGCATCTTGTTGATTGTTGTCACCGAGGGCGGCTAGGCTTGGGATCGCCTTGAATCGCGGATCCATGTTGTAGAAAGATGGTAATCAGGATTTTGAAGATGAAGCTGGCTGGTGTCTGAACGATCTATATATCGTCAGTGGACGCGCCTTACAGGGTGATAGCACCAACCCTTTTCTTTAACCAACAAACACAGCTACAGTTATTTCGCCTAATTAATGGGAAGGCTCTTGTTTGGAAATGGCACAAAGCCAGAGAGCTCAACAGTCCCCATCTGTTTGATCTCAACATGCTACCTTCCCACATCTAGAATCCTGATGCCAGAGATTTCCAGAGCCTCCCTTTCGGGAACTTCCCTTGTCCAGAGCTTTTATCCACCTCTTGGTCCTCTCTCTTTCGAATGGTGCACCATCCTACTTAAGAACCTCAAAGAAATCATGAATTGACAAGCTTGGCAGAGAGTTCTAATCAATCTTCTATCTTTGAGGTAGCAACGTTCTACAATAACGTTTCGAGAACAACGATTTCGCACTCCATTTCCCCGCTTCACCATCCACCCACATTTCTCCCTTTCAATGCATCCACGTTCCAAATGCTCCAGGCATGTAATGATCTAAGTTCTTGCCATGCTCTTCCTGCGACTTCACCAAATCACAAAGCCCTTCATCATACTGTATCCTAGACTCCCAGTGCTTTCACTCCATATTGCAGTAGTTTAGCATCCTTCCATACACCTGTTCTTCGACTGCGGCTTGCCACAATGTTCCATCCTTCCAGCCCCAGAAAAAATATTCTCTATATCGAACTTGATTTCATCAAATGTTTTCTCTCAATTGCTTCACGTCATTGCCTCTCGTGAAAGATGTGCGAGGCAGTCCTTTGAACTTCACTATTCATGGAATGTGACCAGTGATGGATCTGCAACGAAAGGAAGCTCCCCAGCTCCATGGCATTGGGCTATGAATGCTTTTGTCTGTGATGGTGCCTGAGAGTGGACTGGCCGGAAGTCGGAATACCTCCATGAGCCACAGGGGCAAGGACGAAACGTGAATGGTGGGGTATCCGTAGCGCATCGTTGGGTTTGGAGTTGAAAGTCCAGAAGCTGCTTATTCTTTTGGTAGGCCATGGATGACATCGCTAAATGTTTGGCCTTGGCTTGAGTAAGGCAGCTTGACAGTGATGATTCTGCTACCTGCAGTTGCTCAAGACGAGCCAGAGCGCACTTGAACTTGTAGAGAGAAATCACCACAGCGTACTATGCGAGGACAAGTTTTAGGACACCGGAATTTGGCTGTAAGATGCTCTAGATACGTCTAAAATGCCACGGGAAGAGCAAATTGCTCTCAGTTGGGG